GTGAGATTTGAACCGCTGACCTGCTGATCTAGCAGTAGCCTGCAGTGCTGCATTTAACCACTGCGCCACCTAAATGAACCTAAATGAAGATTTAGGTTTATATGTATTCTTACTACAAAGAGCTATTGCCACAGAGCGCTAATACACAATGCAACACAGAACGCTAGATTTTACAACCATTAGTCTTTGATTTAAACAATATATTAATAAATGCAGTCCTTATTGCTAAAGATCACACATTTCACACAATAGTGAAAAACAATTATTTTGCTTCTGAGAATTGGTCATAAAATAAAATTTTATGCTTTTTGCTTTTTTTGCAAAACTATATTATTTTAGATAAAGGTAAAAGTTCCCCTGACGAGCCAGTCATGTTTGACTCTAGGAGGCAGTGCTAATCTCTGTTTCTTAGCCAAGGGCGCCAGCATTGTCCAAAAACGCTTCTGTGGTCACATGAAAGGCTGTTACCTTTCTACTGAAGTGGTCCCTATTTATCTATTTGCATTTGCATTCTTTTGAACTTCTAAGTGGGCAGGATCTGGGGCAGGAACAGAAACTCACCCTATCACACAATGTTTCAGTCTTGAACTTCCAACCTTCCAATTGACAAGCCCAACTTTTAGCCACTAGATCACGGCACTCCCATATTATTTTATAGGGCAGTAATGTATCTCAGATTCGTATAAATTAGTCATTCTAAGAATTATAAAATAGTATGAAAAAGTTCCACTCTACATCTTGTTCAATAAGTTGAAGTATTTAAAAAGTTTTGAGTTGAAAATTGAGTACGTAGGCCTATGTTTACTGTATTTTCCTTGCAAGCACTATTTCAGCAGACTAAAGTAAAGTATGTAGTTGACTGAAGCCTCAGAGAATAATCATTTAAACCCAGACATTCACTTGAGTTCAACCAACCTGGGCTTGTTGGGACTGGAGCACTGGTTGTAATATTAGGAACAGTAACTGAAAAAGAAAAACAAATCCAAGATTTAAAATTGCACCCAGAGTCACCAAACATCACAAATCTTTAGACAAACTCATCATCGAACTCACATCATCCATCAACTCAGTTTTTTCAAAAGGCTGGTTCTGCTGAACACATTATTTTTTTGAGAGAAAGAACTTGCTTTGGAGTATCGATTTATTTAATGGCCCACAATTTAATGCTGGCTCCATTTCATGGAAGATTATCATTCTGTATGAAATGTCTTCAAATTATATAATGTAAAGAGTTCTTGACTTATACATTGGATATATTCCTTCCCCCATGTACCCACCCATTCCCATTGTAGTCTACATTGTAGTTTCCATTGGTTTGGAAAGATACCCAGCAGCCACTAGTACAAATTAAGGTGGAAGGATATACCGATGGGTGGTGTCAATTCTACAAGAAGTCTTTGACTGACAACAGTAATGGAGCTCAGAATTTCTGTTGTAAGTCATTATAGTCATAAGTTGAGACACTCATTTGACTGGATCTGATTTTATGATTTATTTATTTTTTTGCAATGATTAAATGAACTCTGCAATATGTAGGCAAATCCATGTATTTCTATGGGTATTTGTTGCCAGAAACCTGCTGAAAGCAACTGGCAAAAAAGTTATAAAATGTGACTGTGGGACACTGCAACTGACTATAAAGGGAGCTGGTTGCCAAACATCCAAAGCCTATGTTCTGACCTTAGCATAGTACACAATATTATCTGTGATAATGTCCTACCTGTAAATGACTACTTCAGCTTCCACCGCAGTAATACATGGGCAAACAATAGATACAAATTCAAAGTAAACTGTTCCAAACTCGATTGCAGAAAATATAACTTCAGCAATGGAGTGGTCAATGCCTGGAACACTCTACCTGATTCTGTTGTTAGTTCATCAAACCCCCCTATCTTTAACTTTAAACTTTCCACTGTGGACCTCACAAGTTTCCTACGAAGTCCCTAGCGGGGTGTGCATAAGCGCATCAACATGCTTACCATCCCTGTCCTACTGTCCCCATTGATATGTACTCATTTTATGTGTTCATGGCCATGTTATACTTAGTTATATCCATCCATTTGTACCAATCTCATGTGAAAATGTCCACATTTATACTAATATCTATTACCTTGTACATGTTGACAATAAAATAAATAAATAAAGTGTTCATGTGACCCCAGGGATGTGCGCAGTCATCAGAATTCCAGAATCAGGTAGTAAGTACTGTAACTTTGGTGGAGTCTGTCATAACTTTGAACAGTCATGGGCACCAAGTCATTAAGTGAGGACTACACATATGTAGGGATGGATGCAATTGGATGCAGTTTTATAAAGTGATTATTTGTTTAATGCATTAATATTTTTTGTTTAGCACTTTCTTATGTTAAGGTATCACAAATCCATGCCTTTGCAATTCAGATGACTTAATTGTTAAAAAAAAGACACCATGAATGAAATTGCAATATTTGCTATAAAATATATCAAAAGGGGGAAATCTGCACTCACTCACTCACATATAAGTTATTTATTAATTACATTTGCAGGATTTATAGGTTGCTCCAATCAGAATCAAAACTCAATGGATACCCCTCTTCATAAGTTGGGATAAAAAGATAACCTAAAACAATGCAATACCTTATATCATAATCAATATATTTACCTGTATAAGACCAGAGAATAAAATACAGTCAACAAAACATGGTTAAAAAATTCAATAGTTTGAGGGTGGAGGGGAAATTGAGACTCCCAAGCCTTCTTTAAATAGCCAGGTCCTAACATGTCTGGTTGGTCCTTCAAGACGAACAGAAAACTGTCTCCACAGGAAAACCAGCACTCTGAGATTGACTGCCACATGTAACAGAATCTTGCAAATCTGTTGATGCTTCTCTTTCCACCCTTCTTCAGGAAGTCAGGGAGTATATTTTAATTCCCCCTCCCCAGGATTTAAGGAATGTTTCTGTCATCTTTGTTTATCAAATATTTTCTGAATATTTGCCTCAAGGCTGCCTCCCTGCCACTCTGCACCTCCAAAAGGGAAGGAGTTATTTGATAGTTCAAATCTCTTTGGACGTATATTGTATATCTTTTAGTTGTTATAGATGAAGAAATATAGGGATAAAAAAAAGGTCTCCGAGAGGTGTGGGTGCACTATAATATTTGTTTCTTTTTTCCTTTTCTCTTTTTTTGTATTTACTATGTTTGNAATCATGGAATAGCAAAGATTACATGCAAGCAGCTTGTAAGTATAAGGACCAGTTGTAAATACCATACACTTAGTGTCAACATAATTTCAAAAGGCCTGTGAAAAGAAAGCATAAGTGAAATATAAACTATAAAATATTTTATAGCATGAAAAAGATCCAGAGATCTTGGGGCACTAATTTGTTTCATTTTGATGTCCTATCAACATATAGTTTTTACTGGCAAGCAATCACCTGACTACATAATGTACAGTAAATGCACATATCTTGTGAATACAGGTAGTCCTCACTTTAACAATCACTCACAGGCCTTTTGAAATTATGTTGACACTAAGTGTATGGTATTTACAACTGGTCCTTATACTTACAAGCTGCTTGCATGTAATCTTTGCTATTCCATGATTGCATTTTGGAGGCTTAGTAACCAATCCACACTTCCAACCATCACAGTATTTCTTGGACACACGATAGCAATTTTTAACCCTCCTGTTGGCTTCCAAGAAGCAAAGTCAATGGGGAAACTGCCAGGAAGTTGTAGGTTACAGTCATGTAAAGTCCTCACTTAACGATAGCAGCCAAAAGTGCCAGAAATCCAGTCATAAAGCAATATGATGTCACACTCATTAAATGGACCACTTAACAATGGAGTCCCAATTGCCATTAAGTGAGGACTACCTGTACTACGATGATCTGGGCTTGTATAACTGATTTTGCCATGTGAATTAAAAGAAACGTTCATCTGACAAACTATCAAGCAGGAAGCAACTGTAATTTGTTGACACAATTTGGAAGGCAAGATATTGTTGAATAAAATAACTGCCAGTGGTATACTTTCCATACTGTGTCCATTTCCAGAGTGAAGCTACATTCTAGGATGTATATAATTGCAGAAATGCTCAGCATTAACATCCCATTTAAGAAAAATCTATTTTTAAAAAAAATAAAAATGATTTCCCAGCCACCGTAATATACACAGTTTATTTCCTAAATTATCACATATCATAATAAGCAGATAGACCAACAAAAGTCAGTGTTTAAGAGCGGATTACAAAATATGGCTTATTCCTTACAACATGCTCATAATAATGAAATCAGTAAAGTTGGATAGAATTGAAGAACATTTCTGAATATAGAGGTTGTTATTTAAAACTGTAGCTCTTTTCTTACCACAGGGTACACAGGTTTTCCGTTTTGAATCATAGTATTCTTCATGTGAACAGTTGTAACAGCCTGAAAGAAAGGGTAAAATACAACTTGAACATTATGCATTCTTTTAGCTAAACACTGGTTTTGAAATAAGAATTAAGAGATTACTAACATTTGTAAATGAGACCTGGACAATTAACTATCACATATTTCCAAATTTCAGTTCTTGAGCCCATAACTTTCCACACAACATTCTGAAAAATATTTATCACTTTAAATGTATGAGGTGTTGCTATTTTAAACCGTTTTCTTTCGTTATGTGTTCGTTATGTGTCTTTCCCCCCCGCTCTTTTTTGTAAGCTGCCCGGAGTCCTTCGGGATTGGCCGGCATATAAATTTTATAGATAGATAGATAGATAGATAGATAGATAGATAGATAGATAGATAGATAGATAGATAGATAGATANGGGCTCGTGGAGGATATGGTTGTTGAGATGGGTGTACTACTTGGTGTTGATTTTGTGGAGGTTGAGGTGGGCAGACTAATAGGAGAGGTTTCTATTGTGGGTTTTGCCATTGGAGTGGTTGCAGTCTGAGTTGATTCTGTGGTCTTGGAGGTAGCAGCTGGTGGTTTTTCTGGGCTGCTCCTTGTAGGGGTGCTTGTTCAGATGTGGAATCTATAGTATTTTGTTTCTTGCCCTTATAGAATTCTGAAATTTCTTTTTGTTGTTTTGAACCTTATATACTTACCTGTAAAGTATGGTGTCACTGTACTTCCAATAATTGTTTGATTTTGAATTGATGGTCTTGTTTGAAAAGTTGAGGGTACTTTCTCACTTATTATTGGTTCATATGAGGTGGTTTTTGCTGATTCAGTAGTTCTTGTTGTTACTGACAATGAAGTTGTTTCTGTTGTTTTTGGCGTGCTACTTCTCCTAACTGTGGAAGCTGTTGTGGGAAGAAAAATAATAATTTATCTAGTAAATCTCTAAACTGTAGTCATCTGAAGATTTATAGTAATTATTGCTTTGTGTAGTATGATACTTACCTGTTGAAGTGGATGCTGTAGCTGTTAAAGTTGTTTCTGAGCTTTCTGAAACAAGTGAATTGGGAAAAGATATACATATGTTCCTTTGAACAGTTAGAAAGCATATTTAGTTACCGAAGTATTAAATGACCACTTGGTGTACTTGTAACATTTCTCAAGTTTAACAAGTATGATCTTCCAGAATTTCCTAGCTAGCCTGCTGGTTGGAAAATTGTGGGAGTTGATGTCTGTGTATCTTTAAGTTGCTCAGGTTGAGAATCACTGCACTAAGTTATGATCTTTAAAAGTTGTATTTAATTAAAAATGGAAAAATCCTCAGACTTTTAAAAAATAAATAAGTTTTGCTTTTTGACTGCTTTGACATCAGTAAGATCAGCATTATACTTCCCTAATTTTTTAATGCCAATTCAAAGTATAGGCCCTTTGTGTGTGTTTCAATATTTTTTAATAAACAAGTCATTAAAATGGGAATCTTACCATTTAATTTTTATAACTCTGATCACATGAATTGCTTTGGTCATATATAAATAATTGGGGTGATTTTTCTGTATGCCTGTGGCATGGGTGTGCTTGAAGGGAGATAATTGTAATTACATGTGTAAAGGTTGCAAAAGTTGATATAGAGAAGATTGGTATTCATGAATGAAGGCAAATGTGATGCTTCTGCAGATGTCAGTTCAGACAGAGGAGGATGAACCAGATGTAGGTACTTCAGGAGGGGAATCAGTCAATGGCTCCAAGCAGCCAGCTGAGAGTGATTTAGCTGAAGTACAGCTGCAGTAGGACAGACCTATGGCTTCAGGTGGGGAAACCACATAACTACAACCAATTAGTGATGAGGAAGAACTGACTTTTGCACCTGCTCTGAGAACAGCAAAGATCAGCGTGATTAATCACAAGGAGGCAGCATTGTCCCTCTTGATGGACTGCACCAGAAGCTGGCGATTTAGCACAGCAGATAGATGGAGACGATGCTGGGAACAATGTGTACATTTCTTAGCTGTATGTTTCCTAGTCATTGTGATTCCAGCCTTGGCTTGCATAGATTCTGTCCCTTGATTTTGTATTATGCCTTGTAAACTCAACTTTTCTTGCCTTGTGAACCTTCTTGTATTGTGGATTTATTTTTGCCTAGTGGATTTTTCTTGGGTGAGAAACTTTCAAGTGCCTTATGGACTCATTGGTCATTGCTCTGTGGACTAGCATCTATCTGCTTTGGGCTAGACTTAATGGGGACAGTTTTGGGTTTTTACTGAAGAGAATTGCTGAGGGATATTAATAAACTCACTAACCTATCATTACATGAACATGTGAGTTAGTAGAACAGCACAGCAAATATATGTGTCCTGGGATAATGTTCCAGGATGAAATCTATGTCTGTTACTGGGACCAGAGGTTTATCTTCCAAGCTTTCAGAGTAGTGCTGGAACCCATCCTCAGGCAGTTTCTCTCTCACCAGAATGTGTCTAGAAGCTCAGAAGATTAAACTGCTGGTCTTGATGACCAACCCAGATTGGATCCTGCAAGATTGGCATTGACTTAAAATTGACAAACACAATTGGGAATGTAGAGAATGTTTGGAGATATGTGCTAGTTCTTTAAAGGTGCAGTTGAGGCCACTGTTATATGGCTTTGGGGAATGACATACCAGTAAAATGCGTAGACATGGTGCTGGTGTGAGGAATCGTTCTAATGGAAGTGGTCTTTAAAGTGCTTGGTTTTGGGAAGCCAGTGGTTATTGATACTGTAGAAGGAGATGAAGTTTCCAGTGTACTTATGGTGTGCGTTGGGATCATGGTGGCTGCAAAAATTTAAAACATTAAAAAAATAGGGTTAGGCTTATGTAAAGTTTGAAATAAAAAGGAGAAAAGGAAAACTATTGACACCTTGTTTAGTTCAGGATCAGGCTTTCTTTCCCTGGGAGAGTATAAGAATAATGATAATAATATAATGATGTTGTCATAAAGAGAGCCAAGATTTGGTACTCTCTCTCCTTATTTGGGGACAGTTTGTATTTATTATACATTTTGGGAATGAAAGTTGAGACTGTTAGATAAATCACCTTTGGAATAACCATAACATATCTATTGTACCACTTGTTTTGCAAAGCAAAGCAAACCAAACATTATTGTTTTAACAGTTCCAGCTGAAATTCAGCAATAAAAATTCAGGATTTTTCACTGTTTGTAAATTGGGTGTTCAGGGATGCAGTGGCTCAGTGGCTAAGATGCTGACTTTGTTGATCAGAAATGTCGGCAGTTCGGTGATTCGAATCCCTAGCACTGCATAACAGAGTGAGCTCCCGTCACTTGTCCCAGCTTCTGCCAACCTAGCAGTTCGAAAGCATGTAAAAATGCAAGTAGAACCACCTTTGGTGGGAAGGTAACAGTGTTCCATGCACCTTCGGCAATTAGTCATATCGGCCACATGAACACAGAGACTTCTTCAGACAGTGCTGGTTCTTTGGCTTTGAAACAGAGATGAGCACTGCCCCCTAGAGCCAGAAACGACTAGCACATATGTGTGAGGGGAACCTTTACCTTAAATTGTGGGTGTATCAGGGAATTGTCTGCCTGAGCCACTTCTGAATGTCTATGAAGCACGTCTGTGGGG